ATAGGGTCTCTCCAAGTTGGTGAGGCTAGCCTTGAACCTGTGGATTGTTCTGACTTAACCTCCTGAGACAATGGGATATAGGCATGTGTACCACACCTGGCAACCTTGCAGGAACTTCCCATTGCTGGTTGGATGTTCTACACTTTCTAGCCCCAGTCATGTCAGTTTTCTCTTCTGCTCCAATCATATTGGCCTTTTCTGAGAGCCTCAAACTTGCCAGCAGCATTCCAAAAGCTATCTTCTTTCCCTGGAATGCCTAGTCTTCCTCATTCCACTTCATCTCTTTGCCTACTAAATTTGTAAGTTTTTCTAAACTCAGCTCAAACCTAACTTTCCTAGACTTTTGACAAGTGCCCGATATATAGGCTATGAAGGTAGCCCATCTTTACCTTTTTTAGTGCTTATCCAACTGTAATTAAATAATTGTGTAATTAGTTATTTGGTGTCTGTCTCCTTAGCCCTTCAAGAGGATGAAAACATGTATCTTATTTTCTTCCATTTCCCTAACGTTTACAAGTATAACTTGAATACAAAAGGTACTCAGTGAATACTTGAATAAATGAATGAAAATATTTAAGCCTTTCCCATACAAGAAAAATCTCTTCCCATGACTCCATCTAAACTTTTTTTTTTTCCATGCTGGGCATCAAACCCAGAGCTTATTCGTGCTAGGCAAGTTCTCTACCACCGAGTTACATCCCCAGCCCTTTAAAAAATTTGTTTCCGGGGCTGAGGATGTGGCTCAAGCTCGTCTGGCATGCGTGCGGCCCGGGTTCAATCCTCACCACCACATACAAAGAAAGATGTGTCCACCGAGAACTAAAAAATAAATATTAAAAAATTCTCTCGCTAAAAAAAAACAAAAACAAAAAAACCCTTGCTTTTAAAAAAAAAAATTTGTTTCCCTTTTTGAGACAGAGTCTTGCTAAGTTGCTTAAGGCCTCTCTAAATTGCTGAGGCTGGACTCAAACTTGAGATCCTCTTGCCCCAGCCCCCCAAGTCATTGAGATTACAGACATGTATCACTATGCTTGGCCATACACTACTTTAAAATGCAAACTTGTTAGCTTGCCTTAAAAGACTTTGTCCAGCTGGGACAGTGGCACACACCTGTAATCCCAGTGGCTCAGGAGGCTGAGGTGGGGCGTCACAAGTTCTAAGCCAGCCTCAGCAACTTAGAGAGGCCCTAAGCAACTTACTTAGCAAGACCTTGTCTCAAAATAAAATACAAAAAAAAAAAAAAAAAAAGGGCTGGGGATGTGGTCAGTGGTTAAGTGACCCTGGATTCAATCTCCAGTACAAAATAAAAAGACTTTATCCAATCTAGCACCAATGTCTCTCCAGTTTCACTTCCTTAACTCTCACCTTAAAGTCATATATATCAAATATTATGAACTCAGTTTACCTAACCTAGCCACAAACCTATCACAATACCTGTGCTGATGCTTTCCCCAACCTGGAACTCCCTTTCTCTTTCCACACAAGCAAGTAAGCACTTATCCTTAAGACCCTATAAATATATGTCAGTAAAGCTTTACCTATATCCCCAGGTAATCAGCCCCTCTCTCAGGTAATCAGTGTTGCCAACTGTCCTTTAAATCTACCCCAATATTTTGCTTGTCAAACTTTTAAAATTATTTATTTGCATAATCTGTTTCTTACTAGTTTGTGAGCTTCTTGAGGGCAGGGGAATGTGTCTTACCTATTTTCTTATATCCCCATTGTCAAAGCATTATGTTTCTCAATAAATTTGTTGAATGAATGACTCTCAACACTAAAACGTTAATTACACAGGGTGACAGGATTTGTGAAAGCATAGCTTACACAAATGGGGTAAACACCACCAGATTTTCATTTGATAGGAATTGGATTTGTATTCAGTGAGAAGAAGCGGTCCAGTTTATCACCAGATAGTGGTCGCTCATGCCCACCCCCCTATGAGATGCTACTTCTGAGAAAGAACAGATTGCATAAGCAAAGTCTTTGCCGCTACCCCAAATGACAATGGTGATACCGATTCTGAACGACTTCGGCAGAAAAAACCTACCCTGAGATTTGAGACCCTGAAAAATAGGGGTACCAAAAAATTTCCCTGCTATGCCTACAAGCCCTTCAAGACCCGCGACCTTGGGCCCCATCGCTCAGCCCCTCCCAGGTTTACACCCAACAGCAAGGCCTCGATCCTACTGCCCCGCCCCCTCTTTCTTCACACCCTCCAATATTTCCTCCCACAGATCCCCTTCATAATTGTGACGACCTCGCCATTAGGACTTCGGGGCCATAGATTCTCTCAGCCCTGATCCCCCCACCACTCTATGACCCCTGACCCCCTCCTCCAGACTGCTCTTACTGTCCAGATAATGTTCCAAATACATCCCCGCAGCCATCTTGAAGCAAAACAAAGCAACTTCCGATACGCCCCGGAAGTGACTGAAACGCGACAGGCGCTGCCGCTAATCTTGGTTTAAGAAACTTTCCGTCCTTAAAACAACTTCCGCCCTTACCCGAGAAGACATATCCGCCTGACGTTGAAACTTTTTCTTTTGCGTGAGGAGTCACGACCGCCCACAGCGAGGCTGCTGTAGTTCACTTCCGCCCTGAGACTCGGGTGCGCGACCGAGACAGTATGACGTCATGGGAGATCGCCATTTTGCATTTTCTAGCAAACTTTTTATTTTCCCTCCAAAACGAGAATGTGTGGTAATGGGGGGAAAAGACGGTTCTCTTTAGGATCGTATTCTGTATATATCTTTCCAGCAACTGGAGAAGTTCAACTTATTTTACTTTTGCAGATTACGAATCTGGTGACCAAAGCAGTTTCCAAGATTTTATCCAAGGCAGTGTGTTTCTTAAGAAGCTATGATGACACAAGTCATCAGGCCTTGTGTGATTTAAACCCTCTGCATTCCTGTTCAATTACATGAATATCATCTTTTAGGTTATTGTTATTGTGGCGCCGGGCACGGAACCCAGGGCTTCGCCCATGCTAAGCAGGTGCTTTACCACGGAGCTATATCTGCATTTTTTAGTTGAGAAAGATTCATAATTACAAATAAAGCTATAATTCTGCACACTTTTTGTCAGGGCTCTCTTGCCACTTTTTCAATTGGGGAGATCCCTATTTTTGTCGTTCCCCCCGCCCCTCCGCCGCCGTTTTGGGTGATGTAGGATTCAAGCTCAGTGCTTTGCACATGGTAAGCAAATATTCTACCACTGAGCCACAACCCCAGCCCCTAATTTCCCTTTCATTTTAATTTCTACATAGTAATTATTAAGGGATTGGGAAACAGAGTTTTATTACAACTCAGATGGCAGCCATCCTAGTTAGCTAACTATAAAGAACACAATTATTATTTTCATCGCAATCAAAAGCAATCTAGAGGGCTTGACAGGCTGCTATCACACTGAGGAGTCAAAATTCAAAGCCCATATGCCAAGTTGTGTAAGGTAGTATCTTAGACATAGGTGTCACCCCGAAATTACACTTCCTTCATAATGACATTACACGGCAGTTTTTTGTTTTGTTTTGTTTTCTTTTGCAGCAGGCGTAGGGAGGTTGAAGTCAGGGGCACTCGACCTCTGAGCCATATCCCCAGCCCTCTTGTATTTAGAGACAGGGTCTCACTGAGTTGCTTAGAGCGCACTTTTGGTGAGGCTGGCTTGAACTCGCAATCCTGCCTCAACCTGGAGCTGCTGGGATTCCAGATGTGTGCCATTGCACCCAGCGTGGCAGGCTTTTAATATGATGATTTTCAGCCACACAACTTAGACCAAATATGTGAAGAAGGGTGAGATTTACTAGTGAGCAGGCACTAAGATAACAGCAATCTAAATACGTCATTCTGTCATGCTCTTCAATAATTTAATCTCTGTGCCTATTTACTTCTCTATACAATGCCATAGTACCTACTTCATTCGGTCATTGCAAAGAGTGGGTGAGGGATAGGAGTTTTTAGAGTAGATTCTAGTTCCAATACTGGTGAAAATAGGGCTGTCAGGAGCTTCTCTATAAAGTTGGTGGGAAAGAAAAAAATAATACTCAGGAAGCTAATAAACAGTGGCATGTTTGGTTATATGTAAAACATTCATTAGTGTCAATCTACATATTGAGACACTATCTTGAATGCCCAATCCCAAAGTTAAGTGGGGATTATTTATTTATATCCCAGTACTTAACGAATACTGTGGGCCAGCAGACACAGACACCACCGGTTCTCAGACATGGGAGCTTGGTCATTTTTTCAGTACTGTAAGAAAGGAAACTAAGGGCTGGGGATGTGGCTCAAGCGGTAGCACGCTCGCCTGGCATGCGTGTGGCCCGGGGTTCGATCCTCAGCACCACATACAAAGATGTTGCGTCTGCCGAAAACTAAAAAAAAATATTAAAAAAAAATTCCCCCCCTCTCTTAAAAAAAAAAAGAAAGGAAGGAAACTAAAACGTTTTCAGAAAGTATTCTTGGAAGTTATCTAACTCAATACTGGTCAATAGTAGAGTCTGTGTGGGAAGTCCAGATGATTTCCTACTCCCCAATGCTATTAACCCTCCTTCATTGTGAGGTGTATTGATAACCACTATATTATGGACACTCAATTGTGTTTTATACTGTTCATCATATATAACCATTAACTTGTTATGGTTCCCACTACTGCAAACCTCTGGTTTTCGGTGTCACAGAGCAACTGGGGAGTTATAGGTCCATTCAAGGTCTTGCTTCCATTTTTTTTAGACAGGGAACAGAGATGTTAACACATAACTGAAATCTTGTTCTTATCTATTTAGAGGATGCAATCCTCATGACAGATCTTCATAAGCAAAGATTCCACTTGAATAAAACCAAACCTTTCTGAAGCAGTGGAATCTCACACATGGAGCCTCAGCACACAAGTATTCATTTTTCACACACTATGGAGTAAATCCTTAGTACTGCCCTTGAACAATTCCCCAAATACTTTTTTCATACTCACTCGCTCACATCAGTAGCTCCACTCACTGCCTCTGATCCTTTTACATGAATTTATTTCTATACAATGTTCTAAAAACATCCCTTGGTTTGTACACAAGGTTTTTTTTTTTTTTTTTCATTTTTAAATTGCTTTATAACAACTGGTTTCCTGATTTTTTAAGTGTTCTTCTTTCTGAAATCTGTCATGATTTAAAAAACAACAACAACAACAAAAAAAAAAACAAAGTTAAATGAAAATAAAAATGCTGTGGCCAGAGGATAGGGTGGAGGGGGAAAAAAAAGACAAAAATAAACAAAACATCAAATATGAAAATTCTCAGAGATAATGCATTTATAAACACAGAAATGGTTACAACAAAGATGGCCGTGATGAGCGGGTATATATATATTTATATATATATATATTTATATATAAATCCATGTCTGGCGTCTGACCGTGGCACCTAGGGAGCTAAGTCCAGTCCTTTTGTCTACCCTGAACACTCCCTTCTCTGCAACACATTTGTTCTGGGGGTTTCACAGAGACCACAAAGTTCTCATAGCTCCTTGGGGGATCAGATAGGGAGACAGAGTACAGGGCCTTGGTTGACAGAGAATGGGGAAAGAGGTTCTGAGGAAAACCATAACCCATACTTCTAAGCCATCCTTGACCACCTGGGAAATCTCTGGCCCTTGGGGATCACATCTAAGCCCTTGCCCCCTTACAAATAAAAGGAGGTCTAATCCCCACCCAAATCATCTTCTACCAGCAGTAGGTAGGAAGTGAAGTGAGACCATGTAGAAGAAAATGGCTCTCAGGGGTTGGGGCACACAAAACAAACAAACAAACAAAAAAACACCTCTATTCTTTTGCAGGCAAGCATAGGACAGGAGGCTGGTTGCATCTGGAGCTCCCTTCTCTTTGTTATCTGGAGAACCAGCCTCTAGTCTTCTTTTAGCCTGAACTTGGAGGATGAGGGAGAGGGTAAGTGCCCACACCAGACAAGTTTCTGTGAGGTCACAGCAAATCCTTCCCTTGAGCACCAACCCCCAATTTTAAAAGCTTTGCTTGGGAGGGGGCTGCTGGATGACACAATCAGCTCAGTATCCTTTGCAAATCAGGAGGGCTGATGTTCCTTTTGAAGAAGAGTTGAAAATAATGATGGTATCTTGTAAAGGAAAGCTGTGCCTGAGGCCCAAGGAGATGGTGCCAAGGCTTGTCACGGAAGAAAAGGACTTTTCCCAAGAGGAGTTGGAGAAAGAGACCAGAACTTCTTTCTCCTATTCCCAATGGGTGGCAGCACGGATCTCTAAGAGCTGGCCAGGTGCTCCACCTGGATGGTGCTGGTGGTGACAGTGAGACAGATGTCCTTATGATGCTCCGCCGTCTTATAGGGGGTCAGGTCAAAGGAACACTGGGGTGGAGGGTTGGGGTTGCTGTCCCCACCACCCCCACCCTGGGGGGCTGCCCCAGGGGACTGGAAGTGTGGTGGCTGTGGCTGCTGTGGCTGCTGTTGCTGCTGCTGTGATGCCTGGGAGGCTTGGGCTTGGGCTTGGGCCTGGGCCTGGGCCTGAGCTTGAGCTTGAGCTTGAGCTTGAGCTTGAGCTTGGGCCACTGCTGCTGCTGCTGCCGCTGCCTGTACTTGTTGCTGGAGATCAGGAGGGTTGTGTTTGCGCATATGTTTCATAAGGTATGTTTCCTGAGGGAAATGGTAAAAAATTGAGGGATGAAAAGGGAAGAGAGATTACTTGTTAACAAGCATCCTGGGCTCTACTCTGTTCAGCAGAGTACCTTTAGTATTCCCAGCTCCAGAATATCTCAGAGTACAGAGATATTCTGGAGCTGGGAACAGGCAGAACTCAAGCAGTACTTTCAGTGCACACTGCTATGTAAAAAGGAAGGACGCCTTTAAAAGTCACTGTGGACATTCAACTGGAAGAGGGAAAAGTTGCCATTTTTCTCAAATACATTTCAATCAAGCAACTTCACAACCGTTTTCTGGAGTCTAATGGAAAATACCTACCTAAATCTTTCTCTTAACATTTCAATTGGCTTTATTTTGCCTAATGTGTAAGTAAATGAAGAATCATGGTTTATTACTCTTTATAGGTTTAGAGGATCAGGCGTCCCCTATATCCTCACGTATGGGTCTAATTATTTCTGAATTACATTTGTTGGAACAGATTTTTGGCCAGAAAGAAGAGGTAGAGTGAAGTGATGTCTTACAGGGCTATGGGTAAGGCAAGAGAAGAAACAGCACTCACCGATGTATATGCCCGACTACAGATAGTGCAGGTGTACACCTTGGCGTGCTTCACCGTATGCGTAGATAGGTGCACCTCTAGTGAGGCTGCATCTGTGTACGCTCGATGACAGTTGTGGCACTTGAAGGGTTTATCTTTGTTGTGCTGCCGTCTGTGGGACTGAGAAAAATTAGAAGAAACCAGATGAGTAATGAGTGTATTGTGCTCATCCCTCCTGCCTCCTTAACTTGAATGGAAAACTGTGAGGTGGGTACCAGGCTTCCAACTTCACTTTCCACGTGAAGGCAATGGAAATTGCTTCAAATAGAACTTGCTCAAGCTCAGGGCAGAAGCATACCTTCGTACAGCACGTATCAGAATTTGCAAGTGCCGCAGTCTGGCTGGGCACAAAATCACGAGCCACTCACAGCCTTGTAGATTCAAACAGCAATTCTTTATTCCCAAACTCCACCTGCACTCTACACGCACGTTCTGGGAAAATCCCCACTCTCCACAGGGCTCTGCATCCCAAAATACCCTCTGAATCCTGTGAGAACTCAACAGGAACTCAAGGAGTGCACTGAGGCAGCAGGATACGCCCTATTCCCAGCAGGATACACCTTAAACCTGGATCCGCCCTAAACCCGGATCCGCCCTAATCCCTGAGCAAGGTCACCTTTCATGCAATGTCACTCCAAATGACCTGGGTCCAAGGCAAGCCCATTTCCACAATGGAGAGTCCTCCCTCTAAGCAACATTGGGTAGGCTGACAAGGAAATTGCCATGTGTCATTCCTACTTGGCCATGGCTCTCAGCAGCAAGTTAGAATGATGGCTTATACCTGTTCTTCCTCTTACAGCAGTTCTTAAAGTGAGATATGGGGATCTCTATGGAACACAAGGACCTTTTCAGGAGCCCTTAGTTAACAAAATAGAGAGTGTCTTTTCACTCTTGTTCTCTCATGACTGTACAGAGATTACATGATGTATAACATTGCAACAGACTGCATGCAGCAGATGTGAACATACATTCCCAGCTTCAGTTAAGCCAGGCATTAAAGGAACTTGCAAAAATGTAAAACAAAGCCATTATTTCCACAAAGTTCCTTCTGAAGGATTTTGGAATAGTTGTTTATGTTGACATGCAATGAGTTTATATACTTTTTAAAAAAAGGATTAATAAATATTTTTCAAGTTTCTAGGTTTCATATTTACATATATAGTTATTGCCCACATAAACCAAAGTTCTTTGGGTTTATTGGTAACTTTAAATCCCTCCCCCGCACCCTGCCACAGTGCTGTGGCCTTGAGCATCCTAGACAAATGCTCCACCACTGGGCCACACCAAGCCCCTAAGTAGTTCTGTTTTGTTTTTTAAAAAAAAGAAACATGAAAGCTTCTTTCTTTTAATGTTATTTTTTTATACCTTTTATTTATTTTTATGTTGTGCTGAGGTGCCTCATACATGCTAGTCAAGTGCTCTACCACTGAGCTACAACTGCAGCCCCAGCTTTAAGTAGTTCATTTAAAAAAAAAAAAAAAAAAACTTTTATTTTACATTTACGTGGTGCTGAGGATCAAACCCAGTGCTTCATGCATGCTAGGTGAGCACTCTACCACTGAGCCACAACTCCAGCCCTCTAAATAGTTCTTTAGAGTAAAACAGTTCTGAAAAGTTGGAGAACCATTGTATTAGTTAAATGGTGCTCTGACCCTAATCTCACACTCAAGGTCTTACATGGAGGTAAGAACATTTACCTGCAGATTGGAGAGTTGTGTGAAGGCTTTCTCACAGCCTGGGTGTGCACATTTGTATGGTCTATCACCGGTGTGGATTCTGTACAGAATGAGAAAAGAGAGAAATGGATATCAGCAAGGCCATTTAGAGAAAGACCTCCTCCAAGCATAAATTAGGTTCCCTCCTGAGGAAGCCCATCAGATGAGCCTGCAGGAGGCAGCAGCCTTAGTTCCTCTCTAACAGGAACAGATTGTAATGCCTGATTCCCAGGCACTGCCTACATCATTCAGCTCAAGGTAGCCCCCTTTCTGCTGGGGCAGCAGGGACTAAGGCCTTGGCTCCCCGAAAACAGGTAGTTCATAATTTCGCATACATTTCAGCTCCTACAGTAACTGTCCTAATAAATATTTAGAAACAAGGCAAAATCAATAGCAAAGAAAAACATTATAATACTTCTTTGGCCCCAACTCTACAGTCAGAAACTCTTCAGACTTCAGTATCAATTCCAAAGAAGTTCTGGTATCAAAGAAAAGCAGTTAAGCTGATTGTAGAAAGGAACAGTGGTATTAATGAAAACTTACAGAAACTCCTAGGGACTTTCCCCTGGCTAGCCCACTAATGTCAGGAAATGCCTAGGCTAGTAGCAATTTGACCTCTTCCCCAAATGCCACAGGATCCTTTGCTAAGATGAGCCCAGGACTTGAGGATACTGACACCTGCTCCTTATCAGGGACTTCACAACCATCCCTATGACCAGGTGCTTTACTGGACCTCTGGTACAAAAACCTCAAAAATATCACAGAATATGTCTCTAATGAAGAAAGCCTGACTCCTCAAAGCAAGATATCATTATGAGATGGGAATATCACATCTAAAGAAGCCAGTGAGATGGACTATGGCCAGTTAAGTCTGGACTGCAGTTCAACTTGAGATATCACCGAAGGAGACCATCAGCTCTTCCAGTTGGCAGATCCCCTTCTAAATCCAAATTCACGAGATAAACAGTGTGTATCCTTATGAAGTAGGAGCCTTTTCATTTTCTGTGTGCCATTTCTGTGTAATATTTAGTACATGTTTTGTTCTTTACTCCTGGTATTCCTTGGAGCCTTGCTTGTTGCTTGGGTGTCACAGACTGGTGCCAGATAATGTCTGATTATATCTCCCATTCATAATTGATGCCCTGAGGGTTAGAGGTATGCTCTTCTCCAATCAAATGCCTCTGCTTTGGCATCAAGGAGGAAATCTTGCAAGATCCACGCAGGGGTATTTTCTCAGAGGGAAATAAAGGAAAGAAAAGTTGTTTCTGCTCCAGGTGTGTCTCTTCATCCCATCAATCAGGGAATATCATAATAGTCAATGTATCTCCCCAGCATAGCCCTTGCCCCAGAAAGGTTTGCTTAACATCCACTTGAGTCTCCAATGTTGCTGCTTGGTCTTCTTTCTTTCAGATGTCTGCCATGTTCTCCAGTCATGTTCTCCTCCAGCAAGGTCTCTCCCCCGCCCCCCGCATGCGGGTTGTTGTGTGTGTCCGGGGCGGGGGTGGGGAGGGCATGCCAGCGGGGTCAGTAGCCCGCCACTCTCCCTTACCGTGTGTGCTGCTGGAGGTGGGAGAGCTGGCGGAAGGCCTTCTGGCAGTAGGAACAGTTGTAGGGCTTGGCCCCCGAGTGGATACGGAGGTGCTGGGCCAGGTAGGAGGTGTTGGCGAAGGTCTTGGAGCAGTGCGGGCACTTGTGGGGCTTGATGGTCTCCGTGTGCATCTTGGAGTGGATCCTGCCGGAGAGGAGAGGAGGGAAGGGGGAGGAGGAAGCAGTTCGACACCTCGGGCTCAGCTCTCTGCTGGGTGAAATGATGTTGCTTGACGGATGAAAGCACCCCCTCCTCCCTCCTCCCAAACACACTCCGGCCTGGAGAAGCTAATGAAGAGGAAACCCAAATCTAGGTTGCTGCTGATCCTAAGTCGGTGGCTAAAATGGCAGTGAGATGATGAAGAGCAACCCATGGCTCCTGGTAACCTTAAAACAAGTTAGTCTCAAAACCCTTGGCTTTCTCCTAAGTTTACACACTCACCACAGATACCCTGCTTCCAAATAGTAATCTGAACAAAGACCAATATCGCCTGTTCCCCATGGACCTGAAGTTGAATGCACACCTTGGTTCTGAACTGAAGCATATAGTAAAAGCAGGGCCTTCTCTGCAGAAGATTTCCAAACACAGACATAGAGAGAAACCACAAAAATTGTTCCAGACTTTGGAATTGGAGACCACAAATTTTGAGAACCCCCACACTGCTAAGACATGTAGCTCATTTTTCATAGACAATAACAGGAGAGACTTAAATATTTCAAAGGAAAGGTTAAAAAAGAAAAATACACATGGAAAGAGTAATCAGTTCAAGCAATATGGCCTTGGGGACAAGTTCACAGCCAGGTGGTGGAGTAAAAGCAAGAGCAGCCTTACCGGGTGTGCTGCTGAAGGTGGGAGAGCTGGCGGAAAGATTTCTCACAGAAGTTACAACTATAGGGCTTAGCGCCTGAGTGTATACGGATGTGCTGGGCCAGGTAGGAGCTGTTGGCGAAGGTCTTGGAACAATGTGGGCACTTGTGGGGCTTGGTCTCGGTGTGTGACTTGGAGTGGATCTGCATCTCCGACTTTGAGTAGAATGTCAGTGAGCACATCCGGCACCTGGGCCAAATGAGGGCAATGGTTAGAAAGAATCCTCCCCACCAAGAGGCCATTGCTGAACCCTCCCCTTAACTTCCAAGAGAATCCCATCTATCTAATCTTACATTCCAGCTGTATCTGTGAGATCCTTGAGAATAAGAATAGGAGCTTGTTATTATTCATCTTTATAGCCTAAGCTTCTAACAGTATCCATCAGATTATAAATATTCAGTAAATGTTTCCTGAATGACTGGACTCCTAACTGTACAAAAAATAGAATTCAACCCTAGTAAGACAAAAAAACTATAATAGAATTTGGGTGAATGTGAATTTCACTGGACCAGAAATATCAGGTCATTTGATTTCAAGCTTTAAATGAACTCCTTTCCCCAACTTCTCCATGTTTAATTTAATGTCTGTCCTTCATTATTCCTCAACCCATCTAGATGGAAATGAAGAGAACAACTGACTAGATTCTAGCCTGTCTTCACAGATAATTATCTTCCCTCAGATTTTTCCTACTTCCTTTTTGGCAGTGATTCCTAGAGGGATAAGGGTGGGGATGTATAGTAATTATTTGGAGGGCTTTTCCAAACCATATACTGTTCGGCCTTTACCCTGTAGGTGACATTCCATCAATCATCTATCCCCTGCATCCAGCCTCCTAGCAATCAAGCAAGAACCACTTTTGCAATAAGACAAGTTAACTGTTGGGAATAGGTTGTACTCCTCAAGTCTTTAGGAGAAGTAGTTTGCAAAACAGATTTTCCCATGCTAAACCTTTCTTCTTTCCTAGCACATGAAGCTAATGTGTGTACTTTGAGTAATATCAACAGCACCCAGTGTGCTCTCACTCATCATCAACCGGAGTTGGTGATCCTTCTCTTCCTCTGACACTGTCCAAAAGTATCAAATAAGGAGATATTTGCATGAGTTAAGTCACAACTCTTTAGACTTTACTGGATAAAAGCTATTTATATATGGAACCCTGTCATTTCTGTAAAACCCACTAGTGCCCAAAGTTGAGCTAGCAGGAAGAAGGGTGGCTCGGGAAGCCAGGTGACTAGGGCAAGCTCTCTTCTCAGGGTACTCCCCACCTTACATTTATTTATTTACTTATTCATTCCAGTATCTTCACAATACCTTTATTTTATTTATTTATTTTTAATGTATTGCTGAGGATGAAACCCAGTGCCTCACGCCTGCAGGCAAGCACTCTACCATTGAGCTACAGCCCCAGAGAGGTTTGGGATGAGGTGGGGTGATGACTGCTGCATTTTTTTTTCCCCATTTCAGAATTTCTTAGAGGATAACTGAGATAAGAACATCAAGTTTCACAGACAAAAATTTTTATCACTGTTAGTTTAGTCCTTATAGTAAGGATTTTACTAAAATTCCAATCATTAATGCCCAATGTCCTTTCTTCTACTTACTTGATAACTCTGAAAGAAATCTGACTTTTTAGTTTATTAATCTGAAAAGCTCAATCACTTCACGAGAAGGGGGGAAAGTTCTGTTTATAATCATCATAGTCTACAGGGCATAGACAATAGTTTTTATTACTGGGTATTTAACCCAGGAGCATTTTACCACTGAGCTACATTCCCAGACCTTTTTATTTTGAAACAGGGTCTTGCCAAATTGTTTAGGCCTTCACTAAGTTGCTGAGGCTGGCCTTGAACTTGCAATCTTCCTGCCTCAGGCTCCTAAATTGTTGGGATTACAGGTGTGCATCACCATCTCCAGCTAGACCTCAATTTTCTGGTCTGCAAAATGCAGGGATTTAGTTTTTGCTGCTAGAAGGACCAGCAAACACCCAGTATAGTCAAAGTTGTAATAAAATGGCATTAATGCTAACAGCCCCAGTGCTGATGAATGAGCTTATACTACGAAGTATTTCACTAAAACTGAGGTTAGCAAATGGGCACAGTGTCACTTGGAGTAACAATACTAAAGTTGCAAGATAATTTCCCTTGACTGCTAAAATTTCTCAAGTCAGGTAGAACAGCATGTCCCTACCCCTGACCCCAGATGGACCCATGGCATTGCGTGAGCTACATTCCCAGCCAATATGTTCATTTTAATTCAAGTAAAGTATCTCATTAATTTGTGTGAAGGCATTCAACACACAACTATACTCTTAGTGTAAAGGTTAATTTTTTATATTTATATTTTAGTTTTAGGTGGACACAATATCTTTATTTTACATTTATGTGGTGCTGAGGATCAAACCCAGTGCCTCATGGCCAAAACCCCAGCCCTAAAAGTTAATTATCAAGAAGAAAATATCGCCCTTCATTGAAGTTCCAAATTAGAGAAGAATCTGAAAAAATAAATAATGGACTGGGCACAGAGTGAACAATCTCAAAGGTACTATATATAATGATGATGATTATAATAGTTGCCATTTGGTGTTATCCCTGATACTATAATTCAGACACATTGTTTCTATTCTTCACAAACACCTGGCAAATAGTACCCCCGTTTTACAGAAAGGAACACATAGGTTCAGAAAGCAAGTAATTGGTAAAAGGGCAGTTACTCACTACAAAGCCATGATGCTGACCTAAGATTCCTGACACTAAAAACTCAAGCAGAGGCTAGACAATCATCTGCCTGGTGAAGGGACTGGCCCACGTGACTACTAAAGTACACACTGAGCATCCCTAATCCAAAATCTGAAATGCTCCAAAATCAAAAACTTTCTGAGCACTCATGTGACATCACAAGTGGAAATTTCCAAATCCACCCTCAGATAACAAGTCACAGTCAAAATGTGGGCTGAAAATACTGTATAAAATTACTTTCAGGCTCTGCAAATAAATTTCATGTTAAGACTTGGGTCCATCCCCAAGATATCTCATCATATATATGTAAATATTCTAAAATCTGAAAAAATAAAAATCTAAACACTTCTGGTCCTAAGAATTTTGGATAAGGGATATTCAACCTCTTACTTACAACTCTAAAATTTTATGAAGCCAAATAAAAGAGTAAAGGTCCTCTGAGGCAGGGTGTTGGGTGACTGAAAAGAAATCTGAATCAGTAGAGGTGTGGTAGTAGGCAGATGGCAGAGGATGGAAAAGCCAGCACTCCACATCACAGGGTGAGTGCTCCAAGGGGTACTATTCACACTCATCATAGTAAGAATGATGTCCTTGGAGCATACAATGCCTTGGTTACAGTAACTAGTCTGAATTCTCATCCTAAGATGCTCAAAATAATTTCAAATATTCTATTTTTCCCTCAAAACATTTGCATATGATAAATAAGGGTGTGACTAATTTTCCCATTTAACAGATGACAACAAAGATAAGTTGTCTAGCCCAGAGTAACAGAACCTAATTCCATCAGTACCCAGTCAAATGCTACTGATCACTGGAATGGAGGTAATTGACCCACAGCTGCATCAAAATTGGGATTCTTTGTGATTAAGAAGAGTTCTTTGCAACTTCAGAATTGTAAGATTCTGAATTAATTTTTTTTACCAAGGATACAATCCTTCTTCAGAGTTCTCTTTAGTCACTTGGGTGTAGGTCTTTCAAGAAAATCTCTGAGGGTACACAAAGTCCTAACAGGCTTCCTTCCAACTATATATTCACATTTCTTTTAATATATAGAGTTTGGGAAGTTCAGAGGTAGCTTTAATGTGGGTCCAAAAAATTAACAAACATAGAAACTGTATCATAATCAGAGGATTCCAATCTGTCAGAAGTGCTTCCCATTACTCCTACATTTTATATTGATTCATCTCCATGTCATAATGCCCTCATTTTAAATAAATACACAAAATCTGAATTTCTACATGATAAAAGGGATTTTTCATTTTATGAAGTGATATAAAATGCCTTTAAATGAATCAAACTTGTCAGGTACCTTTATAATATGATATGATGTAAACATTTTCCAGGAACACTTTTATTGTATAAAGTGGGATACACCTGTAATAATAAAGCTGCAATGAACTTTCAGATTATGAGCTGGAATTCTGCAGTGCTCAATACTTTCTGCATAGCAACACTCCTCTCATTTCCATGCATAAAAAGGAAATTAAACACTGTAGTTGTGGCTACTCTCCATAGTAAAATTATACAATACAATAAAAATAAATGCTAAATAATGACTATTTCTTATCTTTCTATTGAAGCTCCCAACATTTCATAGCTTATCTGATATATACTCCCAAACAAATGGGAGTTATAAACAGAATTCTCCCCATTTTACAGATGAGGAAACTGAGGCCCAGAGAGGGGAAAAGGACTTGCCCAGGGTCACACAGCAAGTTCGTGGTGGAGCCGGGAACTGAATCCATGAGCCCAAGGCTCTGTCCATTTCCTGTGCCGCAGTTCCCTTCGCTCCTAAAATGGGAACAACATTGCCCATCTCGGTACACTAAGGACAGACCCAATCTCCCAGCCATGCACATATGCCCCTGTCTGCATCAAAGCTCTGATAGTGGTTATCCCACTCTGCATATTGGAACCAAATTCCCCAAACCCACTAGGGACTCTGATAGCTCTCAGAGTATTAACAGATTTTCAACTTTCAAAGGGCAGAGAGTTTACTTATGTAATTATTTTTGCATATTACCACATGCAAATATGAATATAAAGCTTTTTGGTAATGGACAACTTAAGATAAAGTAGAGGATTAAATTACGCCCACAAATTAAAAAACAAGCAAACAGTCATTTTATAAACATATATTTCAAAAGGGGGAGGCTTCCTATTCCTCCCACCTTTTATGTAGACCCCTCCCATCATCCTAACCATGCAGGAACAGGTGGACTCAAGTGCTCAAACATGGTACAGGAGCTCGTGGATGGTACACAGGTTAGGTTAGGTGCTTACCAAAAAGGATTTGTTTGTTTGGAAAAATAGAAATGGGGAATGCAGAAAGCCAAAAAAACAACAACAAAAAAAACCCAAATCCCCTGCAGAGTCTCAAACCCAGTCTAAAGCATTAGTACAAGAGATAAACTCTCCTGTTACTAAAAAATCAGTCAAGGCTGATAACTACCATAACCAAGGTTAAAAAGGAAGGGGGAAAAGAGGTCTGCATCCTGGGGGAAGAGCCACTAGAGCAGTGCCAGCAGCTCTGCCTTCCTACCCCACAACAGAACATCTGACATGCAAGTGACTCTGAGGAGTAAAGCTGTCAAGAGTATAGAGCCTGATCAGGGCAAGACATGGGGAAGCTGAGACAATGACCCTCACCCCATCTTGCTCCTGGCTCTGATTCCTACCTGTAGGTCTTGCCGTCTTTCTGATGGTCATCTTCATCCTCAGGGGAGAGGACATAAGGGTCATTCATCTCAGGCAGTCCTGATTCCAGCATCCGCTTCTTCTTGCGGCCCCGGGGGGGCTTGGGAGCCACATTGCCACCTCCACCACCACCTCCGCCTCCTTCCTCAGTTAGGGTTGATGCTACCTTCTTGGAGAGGTCAGGGACCACCTGCAGGGCTTGTGAGCCAGGGGGAAGAGCTGAGACAATCATAGGAGCCGAAATGGGGAAGGTCTGAGCTGATGAGGCTGTGGTCACGAGAGAGCCTGAGGGGGATGTGATTACCAAACCAGGACCTAAGATTGGGGGAAAAAAGAAGATGGTGTCATGTTGTTCAGTACTAATCCTAATCCTATTTCATATTATCCCCCACAAATTGTTGTCTTATTAACCCCTCACCACCACCACCCCATCCCATAGTACATACAGGAAACCCCAAACCCTGTTGAAGAATAATGGTCTCCTAACCCCTGTCCCCACCCCCCTGGTAACAGTGAGATTTACCCCTTGATTGACTCCCTTCTCTTCTCCACCTCTGAGAACAGGAGACTCCTTGATTCAGAGAAGGAAAGAATGTCACCTCCTCAAAGGCAGGGACCGCATCTTCTACTTCTTTGTATCCCCCACAATGCCTAGCACATTGCTAGGCACACAGTAGGCACTTAATAAAAATTTGATTGAGTAATCAAACACATATCCCACTCCCCATGTCCTCAGAGCCCTCCAGCCTGGGGTACTGATCATGGAAGATCAACACCTCAGATTGGAGAAGAGCAGAGGTGCTCACCAGCAGTCATCAGTCCTGTAGACGGCACAGGGACCACCGTAATATTCTGAGTAACGGATGCCTGGCTGTGTGGGGTCAGCTGGTCTGACTTGGACTCTGTGTCCATGCTGATGCCTGAGGGCAGGGACACTGAGGCAGGCACTGTCAGCAAGGTGGGGTAATGGGGTGGAGCCAGCCCACAGCCCTTCTCTGGCAACAGCTGATCCTTCATCTTGTTGATGAACATTGTGTTCTCAATCTGAAAGGAAAGGAGAGGGGAGAGGAGCACCCTCTTCAGACTGAGAGTCTAAATTTTGCCTGTTCCCTAAACACTTTTCAATGTCATTCCTCCCTGGAGATCAAGGAATAAGAAGTTAATATCTTTGTGCTTCCAGACAGCAGCCAAAAGAGAAACAGTATATAATTCTCAGTGATTGAGGATGCAGTGAAACAGCATGTGATTTATCTTGCTTCAGTCTCCACAGTAATAGAACCTACTTACTCAGTAACAGAACTTTACTCACTAGTTGAAAAAAAGTACTTAATGAGGGGCAGCAAAAAACATCACTTACCTGTCCTGAGACTGTGGGGATAGAAGGCCAGAAGTATGGGTTAGAATTGAAATGAGATTCTTCCATTCTACCTGAAGAAAAAGAGAGAGACCATATTATTCCCTGGAATAAATATGTAGAAGCTTACCAATGGAGGAGAGTTGAGGGATTCCTAGTCTCTTCTTTGACACCTGATACCTGGCTGGGAGTTAGCAATCAAGACATTAGTGTCTAAAATACTAGTTCCCTTGGTTGGAGCTACTCAGCTTTATATCCCCACCCAAAAGAGGCTATCTTGGTTAATGCTTGTGACAAAACTTAAACACATCTCACTGAACAATAGAATGTTTGCCAAGCCCCAAAGACACAGAATTGGTATTATTTTCCTTTGTTGACAAGAAGAGAAATGAAGTCAGAGAGGGAAAGGTCACAAAAAGCAAACCACTGACTGGCTTGAAAACAGCCAAAGTACCTACCACTGTTCCCCTTTTCCCTTATCCCTTATGTCCAAATCCTCTGAAATAAAATTTTTAAGATTTCTAATCAATATACAGTTCTGCTCAGCTTGAAAAGTTTTTAGACAAGAACACAATATATCCAAGAAACTACATGAATGAAATGGCAGAAATCAGAACCAAGGTACTTTTTTGAGTTATCAGGCTATATAGGGACACTATCACATTGATCCCCCCAAAGTCAAACGACATCTGTGGTGTTTCGCTGGATATAAAACAATCTGAGCTGAGCAGTGGGAACCAAGGAACTACCAGTTTTAAAAAGTTCTGGTGAGGGGCTGGGGATGTGGCTCAAGCGGTGGCTCAAGCGGTAGCGCGCTCGCCTGGCATGTGTGCGGCCCGGGTTCGATCCTCAGCACCACATACAAACAAAGATGTTGTGTGCGCCGAAAACTGGAAAATAAATATTAAAAAAAAAAAAGTAAAATAAAATGTTTAAAAAGTTCTGGTGAGAGCAGTAATACCACAGATTTCCACCTAAGGAGATTTAGACTCCTGCTTTGTATTTCAAATTCTTCTCTGTATGCAGGAGATGATTAAGCTTAAAACTCTAAGAAAAAGCAAGGAAAATAATCCCTTAGAATTACACTGTCAAGTTACAGATGGAGAGAGAATCCAGGCATCCCACCACCTATTTTCTCTCTGATCACTTTCTCTAGGAAGGCTTAACTGGCAGTGTGTCAGTCAAGAACAGTTTCCCAAAATCCTGGACCAAAAAAGGTGCAATCTCACAAGAGGCAAGTTAGGAGAGAGTATGAGACTGGTGGAATAAAGAAGTGAGGAACAACAGGAGTAAATAAAATGTTATTGCCAGGTGCAAAGGCACAGACCTGTGGCTCAGGAGGTTAAAGCAGGAGGATTGCTAGTTCAAAGCCAGCCTCAGCAACTTAGCAAGCCCTGATGCAAAATAAAAAATAAAAGGGGCTGGAAATGTGGCTCAGTGGTTAAACGCCCCCAGGTTCAATCCCAAGTGTGTGTGTGTGTGTGTGTGTGTGTGTGTGTGTGTGCGCGCGCGCGCGTGTGTATATGTACATAAAGTATACTTTATCAACCAAAGAAATGATCAATCTTAAGGAGAGGGAAATACCAGCTTTGATTTGATC